CGGCCCCCCCGGCGGCGGCGGCAGCAGCAGCAGCAGCAGCAGCAGCGGCGGCGCTCCCTCCTCCGCGCGGAGTGGGTGTGGGCCAGGCCGGCGCACAGGATTTGCAGCCTCCGGCTCGCGCGCTTTTGTCCCCGCTCAGGGAGGAGGGCTCCGGAGCAAACTGACGGATGCAGCAGCCCAATCCCTCGCTCGCTCGCTCGCTCGCTCCCCAAGGCGGGGACTGTTTGCTCGCAAGGCTGGGAGAGGGGGCACCGGCCCCTGGGCGGGCGGGGTGCGGCCCTCGCTCCGGGAGCCCTGTGGGCAGGCCTGCTCGGCTCCTCACCCGGGGATGCTTGCTTCCTTCTGCCTCCCACCAGCATCTGCCCTGTAGCCACACGTCGCCAGTCGCACCCCTGCCCCTCGGGGCCTTTGGTGCAGTGAGGTTACCACTTCCCCTCCATAGGCACAAAACCTCCAACACATTTGCACATTGCAGAGTCTCCGGATTGGATCTGGGATCTCCACCCTGCATATTCCACAACGTGTGAATCGGTCCCATCAGATCTCGCAGGGTGTATCTATGCTAGATAATGCATGTACCCCCAAACATAGGAGCTCTCCCACCGCAGGGACTTCCTGTGCACAAGAACTCAAGAAGCAGCACTGCTGGATAAGACCAACAGTTCACTTAGTCCGGCATGCCCTCCTCCCTACAACCGGTATTCAGGGTATTCAGTCACACGGCCTGTGCGCATGGAGCTTCCCTTTGGCTCTGATGGGTTAATAGCTACAGATGGATCAACCTACCACAAATCTCCCTCTAATCTCTTTTTTTGAACCAGCAAATGCCGTATGTCAGCTGTGTGTTGTATGAAGAGAAAGGCAAGGAGGCCCTTCGTCCGGCTCATCACTCGCCCTGGGAGACCCTGAGATCTGGTGGCAGGAGTGTGTGTGTGGGGGGTGTTCTCCAGCATACCAGGCCTAATTGATTTATTGATTTATTGATTTGACTTTTACCCCAACCTCCCCACCAAAGGCGGCCTCAGGTCTCATTAGTCTCATAAAACTAATAAAACAATATACATCTTATAAAATTAAAAATACATCAATTAAAAGCATTAAGATCGATGCAGCCACCTCCCGCCCGCCCCCAGCTGGCTTTCTCTTTAAATAATGATGATGATTTTACTAATCATTAGTAAAAAAGGAGGGCAGAGGACAGGGACGAGTGTAGGCTAGTTTTTCTGATTTCAGTGTGTGAAAATGTCTAACAGGAGAACTAGCCGGAGTACAGAAGCCCGCCTGAAGACGGAACCAGACCGCCGGTCCTTCAGGCTCAGTGTTGCCTGCTCTAAACGGTGGCTGCTCTCCAGGTCCCCAAGCAGGGAAGGGTCTCACCTGAGAACTGGAGAGGCCAGGAACCGAACTGGGGACCTTCTGGGTGCAAAGCAGGCGTCCTGCCACAGCACCACGGCGGTTCTCTTGAGAGCTTCAGAGCTCCTTGGCCTTTTTTCTTCTTCCTTTGAGTCTGTGAAGCGACTTTATCCCTTCAGTGGCCCACTGAGCTACCAGCAGCCATTCTCCAGGGTCTCCAGCAGAGAAAGGTATTTTTCAAGATTTGATACCTGAGGTTCTCTAACAGGAGATTGGAACGGGGCCTCCCGCGTGCAAAGCAAACACTCAGCCACTGATCCACGGCTCCTCGTACCCTTCTGACCCTCCGTCTCCTCTCACTAGTGGTGGTTCTTGGAGCCCCACTCCGGTTGTTCCCAGGAATTTCAGTTGGCAGAAAAAATGGATGGGGGAAAAGCAGCCTCAGAAGCCAGCCACATAAAAAAAAGGAAGGACCCTGAATGACCAGCCGTGTGCGCCAGATAGAACACTGACGTTTGTGTACCTGCTTCTATGAAGCCACACACTTGTACAAAAAAAAAAAAATAGATAAAATCCAATTGACCCAGGGAGAGATCAAACTAAATCCCCAAAAGTGGCCAAGATAAAGAATCGGAATTTCAGCTACAATCCTTTGCTGACTGCACCTTCCATTTCTTCTCTTGCAAATTGGGCAATTCTGTGGATTTTGTTTCATCTTTCTCAGTGCGGTTGATTGGATTTTATCCATATTTTCATGTGGCTTATATATACACAAGGATGACCACTGTTGTCGGACATTTGGTGTCCTGGTTATTCAGCCAAAGGGAAATAGTGAGGACTAAACTTTGGACTTTCCAAGAACGAAGCAGGTACTCTGCTGCTGAACCTGTGCATCCTCCGCAGAAAACAGGTTGTGCTTTCAAAGTGCGCGTGATCACAGCAGCGCATAGTAAACAGCCACCACAGAGAGCAGGTGCCAGGGAGCCCTGGTGCGTGAGGATCATGTTACATCCCACACCTTCTTGCTGAGCAAAACCGAATGGCATTTTCTCTAACTGCTAACTTCAGATTGTAACAGATGGTGGCCGATTGTTAAAGGAGTGGAAAACTTCTGAACTGTCTGATTAGCGCTTTTGATGTGGCAGAAGGTCTCTCCAGGCCTCGGGGGTGAAGAAGTGTTTGCTTTGCGCAGTGGGAGAGAGAGAAAAGTTGACATGTCTTCTACAGCTTGTGTTTTGTTTTGCTTTTAAGCATACTGTATATTTCTTCCCCCGCTGGGTCCTCCTTGGTAACCAGTATCCAGAGATATTTCATGCTTCTGGCTTGTGTGATTCTCCACCCCCAACTGAAACTCTTAAGTCCATGTACCGTAACTTCATTTGGCCAACTTCTGAACGTACATTGTCAGGTCCTCAGGGTAGGGATCTGTGTGACTTTGCATCGCTCCCAGAGTATTGATGGACCCATCTGTGTTCATCAGATGCACGTCTCTCTGCTCCGTGATGCAGTCACAGAAATCAGAGCCGGGGTGGGACCATGCTGGTTGGTACCGGATTCCATCTCAGTTGCCAGGGCTGCAGGTGAGGCAGCAGGATGAAGGGCAAGCCAGAGGCAGGAGATGGGGCTGTGCTGCTTCAGGCCGCAGAAGTTGCCTGGTGGGTTAAAGAAGAAGAAGAAGAAGAGATTGGATTTCTACCCTGCCCTTCACTTGGAGTCTCAGAGCGGCTTACAAACTCCTTTCCCTTCCCCTCCCCACAACAGACACCCTGTGGGGTGGGTGGGACTGAGAGAACTCTGACACAAACTGCTCTTTCAGGTACAGTTGTGCCAGAGCTTGTGACTGACCCAAGGTCACATCAGCAGGTGCAAGTGGAGGAGTGGGGAATCAAACCTGGTTCTCCCAGATTAGAGTCCGCGCACTTAAACCACTACACCAAACTGGTGTAGACCTCCAGCACACACCCGTTGCTGTGCCAGCGTCTGTCTCAGGGCAGTGTTCCAGCGGCACTCCCCCCACCTAGGAACTGAATGGGACAGTCTGCTCCACGACCTTTTGCTGCAGGCATAGGCCAGGCCTCAGTCTCTACATCAGGTGTGGCTGTGAACAACAATCCCTCTAAGCTGTGAGCCAAAATTCGGCTTCGTGGGCTCCTGGCATCTAAGTTGTGAACAAGCAATTTGGCTGCTGCATAAATTAGTTTGCTCACGAGCCCTCCTTCCTGAGCTGAGACAAAAATAGATGAGCCGGAGGCTAAAAAAACTGTGAGCTAGCTCACACCAACTCAGCTTAGGGGGAACACTGGCTGTGCGTGCGCCCCCTTAAAGGGCATGGCTGCCATCCCTGGCCGGTGGGAAGTCTGCAGGGCTGTGCTTGGGGACCCTTGTTTCGGGGCAAGCCAACCCCCCCTCCCCCGGCAACAGCCTTCGTAGCCTAGCACAGACCTGGAGGGGCCAACAGTGAGACTCAGTACAAGGCGGCATCCTGGGATATCGCCAAGCATCCGGGGCCGCAGTCCTTTGCTGGCATGGGTGGATGGTGCAGTCTGGCCAGGCCTGAATGCAGTGCTTTATGTCCTTGTTGCAGGCGGATGATGGCTCCCCTCCCTGGTGCAGAACTAGTCAAGAGGCCGCTGCAGCTGTATCGCTACCTGCTCCGTTGCTGCAAGGAGCTGCCTGGGGGAAATGTTCAGGAGCACTACAAGCACGCCATCAGGCAGGTGCGGAGATGGCCTTGCTGCCTCCAGGCAGGGAACTCCCTCACGCCCCGTGCTCTGTTTCCACTGGGCGGCCTGAGTGCCTCTGGGAAGCTCGAGAGTGGGCGGTGATCAGCGCTAGCTGCCAGTTCTCGTTTTG